GGGGCAGCCACAGCCTCCCTGGGCAACCTGGGACAGTGTCTCACCACCCTCACAGGGAGGAATTTCTTTCCAATATCCCATCCATCCCTGCCCTCTGGCAGGGTGAAGCCATTCCCCATGTCCTGTCACTCCACACCCTTGTCCAAAGTTCCTCTGCAGCTCTCTTGGAGCCCCTTTAGGCACTGAAGGGGCTCTAAGGTCTTCCTAGAGCTTTCTCTTCTCCAGGCTGAACATCCCCAGCTCTCCCAGCCTGGCCCCATGGCAGAGGAGCTCCAGAATCATAGAATGGTTTGGGATGAAATGGACCTTAAAGCTCATCCAGTGCCAACCCTTGCCCTGGGCAGGGACACCTCCCACCAGAGCAGGTTGATCAAGGCTTGCTCCAACCTGGCTGTGAACACTGCCAGGGTTGGGGCAGCCACAGCCTCCCTAGGCAACCTGTGCCAGTGTCTCACCATCCTCACAGGGAAAAACCTCCTAATATCACAGTCGTCTTAACATGACTCATTTCCTCTCCAGGGAGGTCTAGTGTGGTGTCAACCATTACAGACAGTGGTGGAGATAGACTCCCTATAGTATATAGGGAATACTATGGGAATGTAGGACACAGAAATACACTACACTTACTGTCAGGGGCAGAAGGACTGTCCAGCCTGAGCTCCATTGGTGTTTCCAGCTTGTTCTTCACGATCAAGGCCGAGCGCACTGTGATCACCTTCCGGGCACTGCCCTCCATGGTGACTTCAAACACCACACGAACTGGAGGCAATGAAGAAAACTGGAAGATATTTAAAAGCATTAAAAAGCTCAGGTAATGAATATAGCTAGAAGAGGGACACCAATTCTGAAGCAGTAACTGCTGAGAATAACTTGCCAACTGAGTCCAACCATGTGCAACTCCTAAGGTATATAGAGTTTCATAATAATGATTTATAATCCTGTGCCTCCTCCTCAAAACACAGTAAAATTAACTATGAAAAAGCAATTCCACACACCACTAACTCCATCATCTTTTGCAAAATGATGCAAGTTCAAACAAGAGCAATACAGATCCCAAATGAACACTTCCTACATCATCTCAGCATGACACTATTTTATAAGTCAATGGAGTTTGTATTTCAAGCCTCATAAAACTAACACTCATCACTTCTCTCTGTCCAACTAGAAAACAACAGAGCTTTCTTCAAGTATTCGTATTTTCTTCACTCTTATCTGCCCTTTTACTGTGGTGTTTTATCTCCTACATCACACAAAGTCATCACCACTTTGATCCTGAATCCATATTTTACACGAGCTCACACTCCCACATGGGAATTTAAGAGCCATTCTGCAAACATTTACACTGGGGAGGAATGGCAAGTCAGAAATACTTGTGGTGATTTCAAAGCCCATTTTGTTTGCTTGACTTTTATTTTCTTTCCATTGCAAAGGTTCTAGAAGAATGGCAAAGCCTTTTGTAGGGTTTTGCTACTCTTAATTAAGCAGCTCTCAAAAGATGAAAATATATACTCACGTAGACTTGTGGATGTATTATATTTGTTCTGCTGATTGGGCTTCCAAGCTGGGAGGAAAATAAATAACAAAGTTAGAGTTGTTCAGCTTTTAAGATATTGCACTCAGCTAACTTTACTAAGAAGAATAAACTTTCACCACTTTGTCCTCCTGATCTTAAAAACAGCTTGGAAACACATCAGAACTAGATTTCAAACCTGTTTTCAACACTGTTTTAAAAAGAAATGAAGCTGAAGGAAGGTTTGTTGTAATTAAAAATTCTACAGAAGATGTTCCTGAACAGCAGTTCAAAGTAATTTTCCACCTTTCCCTTCATTATTGAGGTTACAGAGAGATGATGCTTTTATGTTTCAAACATCAGACACAGTTCAGAGACTCCTGGCTCTTGTCAGTAGTACCATGACATTAAATTCTAACTGTGTCTTACACAAAAAGATCCCAACTTCCAATTTCTCAACAGTTTCCAGTAACAAGCCTCAAAATTTAACAGTTTTGAAATCCACAAGACCATTTTTATCACTGAGCCTCCACCAAATTCTTGCTGATTATTGCAACTACATTTTCCTCTCATGACAAGTAGATTTTGTCTAAGCAGCCACATCAACAATCTCTAGGCTTACAGGAAATGGGCAGTGTTGTTTATTTCA